CCAAGTTGGGTGGAATATCAAGAGTGTCTTTGCAGGTACAGTATATTCATGTACACATATACACTGTATGTATATACATTTTAGTCAACATATTAGAAACAAATTGAGTGAGAACACAGTGTTATGTCGGGCTAGGCAAGACGTTATTGCCCCAAGTGATTCATTGTGTTTTATAAAGGAGTTGTGTTCTCCTGAAGTTATCTATTTGACTTTTTTTCCAGTAGAAATCCCATGGTGTTTTTTGGAGACGTAACGTACTGGGGGACTGTTGACTACAGTCAGAACTCGTTGGCAGACATATGTTAGCAACTTAATCCTAGTTGACAGGAATAAACAATACTCTTAACAGAAGAAAAGAAAACTTAATTCCCCAGGTGTCTTGAAGGTGGAACAGGCTGTGCTTCATTGTGACACATGTTATTTGTTGACAACAGGGAGATGTTGATGTGTTTGTTTCGTATCCAGGTTTGCTGCTTAAAAAACACATTTCTATCTGTTAAAATGAACAACAATAATGACATTTAACAAGAATTTAAATAACTAAAAAATATATATATTTGAGAAATCGTGGATATAGACTTGTATTTGAACTTCCATAAAACCTATTAAAGCTGCCGTGTGTCTGTAAAGTGGGTCTTTTAATGCATTAAATGTGAGTTTATAAAATGGTGCATTTACAGCTTAACCAGCTTCAGAGTGGCATTTAAATGTCATACCTTGCTTTTAAATATCAGAAGAAAATGTGTGTTTAGGCACTCAATGTTAAAATAGTGTGTGGCATGGGGAGTCGGGTTTTAGTTGCCTTCAGATTTTGCAGGATTGTATTTTATCCACGTACGAAAATATGTTAGTCTGAAAGAGAGGGAAGAAGAGCTTCTCTTCTTAAGCCAAAATGTCTTTCTGTAATATCGGAACATGTCTACTGTTGAACTTGAATTGACTTTAAAAGCATCAAACTAAGTCAACTACATGAACAGGCACTCGTCTCTATAGAGTAATGTACTACATCACATTAGAACATAGATTGGAAAGGAACTGTGTTTTTAGTTTTCCTTTGTTACAGCAGCTCCGATACTAACTTGGCAGACCTTCAGAAACTGTCGGGTGGAATGGAGAAAAAAAGATTTACACTATTGATCCTGGCCTTCTAAAAGGTTAATTTATTATTTAATATTGTCAGAAGGAATCCTCAGCTTTGGGACTAATCTGTGTGAGAGACATGGACTATAAACTCAAATAAGTGGGGTGAAAATGACTTTTTCAGAAAAAAAAAAAAGAATTTAGAGCAAAGTAAAACATTTAAATGCTAATAAATCTTGATATATAACAAAGTATAGAGTGGAAACATGTTTTTATATATTAAAAAAAAACAAAACAATTCCTTGTTAGTGAACCACAATTTGATTATTTGCAAATGTAACCTTATTGGTTATAAGTTATAATATAATAATATTAATTATTAATTAATAATAACCTTATTGGTATGTACCAATAAGGGTGAACCACAATTTGATTATTTGCAAATGTATCCTTATTGGTTATAAGTTGTGAACCACAATTTGATTATTTGCAAATACTGGCCGGTATGTACCAATAAGTTTACCAGAAAAAAGGAATTTAATATTAAGGACCAGTCAAGGGTTTTGAAATCCAAATCAAGTTAAAAGGCCCTGTTATTTCAGACAAATTCTACTTACATGCAGCATGCTTCAAAATCATTTTCTGTGTAACCAAATTTTCTGCCACTGACTCATACCGCCGGCCACTTATTATTGTGACACCAGAGCTCATCCTAGTTCTCAAAGCTTTAGGCGAAATATAATTAAACCACACTTGTGCTCTGCTGTGTACATGGTGCTTAGAGGCAAGGTAGCTGACACAGTGGATGATGCAGCGGGTCGGTGGAATTGGGGACAACTCTTAGATTAAGCGTTTTGAGTTTTTTTTTAAATAAGTGGAACAGCCTTATTAAAAAGTAGGTTTTGGTTATGGGTAAAAAAAGAATGTTTTAAAATCTCAATTTTCTGTCAGAAACATGCACTGATTTGTTTTTTTAATCATTTATTTTGTTTGCCCTAACCATTTTATTATAAAACAAACCAAAATAAAAAGACAAAATAACCTTTTTATAATGAGCTTTAACTTCAGTAAACTGAAATTCTAGGTTTCCATGTTAAAACTTGAGCAGAGTGGATTCTCTTCTCAAGATTTGGCTTATCTTTAATTTATATTTTTCAAGATTTGGCTTATCTTTAATTTATATATATTTTAACTACGTTTTTTCTTGTGTGTGTCTATATATGTATATATACACACACACACACACACATGTATATGTGTGTATATGTATATATATATGCATATATGTATAT